CCAGGGAATAACCCCACCAAGGTCATCTTTCAGCTCCCTCATCACTTCTTGACTCCAAATAAAACTTATTCTCTTAGATTGTCAATGGAAGTAGCACTTCCGATTATTACGTAATTTCATAGTAGTAGAGCCCAGCCGATACGGACAAGGTAGATCTTCATCTGTGTATGAGATGTCAAAGCACAATGGAGGATTGATGTTCTGCCTCAATTCCTTCAATCTTGGTATGGTTTTCTTAGTATCACCAAAACTCTAAATAAATATCTGTATTTATTTAGTTACTTGCTAATTAGTTACTTGCCTGAAATAGCATTTGGCTCCTTGATCTTTTTCAATTTTCGGAGGTCAGAGATTTATCTCTATTAGTATGGCATAAAAAATAAAAAAAAAAAAAAAAAAAAAAAAAAAAAAAAAAAAGGTTCCAAAAAAGGGGCACACGTACCAGAATGATTCTAGCTTCAGAACTCTTCACGTTGGCACCTATACTGCCTGCTCTACTGGTAATTATTGAAAACCAAATAATGGTCTCAAGCTGATTATCTATAGTCATATGACACTTTCTCTAGGTTCTTCTATAGGTTTAAACTCTCAAGTTGATCACGAATAGAATGGCAGTAACTTTTTAAAGGACTATTCCAAAAACAAACCTAAATAAGAACAACTTTCCCCAAGGACAAAAATGACAACTCACATACATGAGAAGAAATAGAGAAAAATTTTCATTTTACACAAAAGTCTGCTAGAGGAAAAAAAAGTTTTCTCAGCTTTAATATTTTCCTTTATTATAAAGTTCAGTGTACTGTGAAAATTTCAACTTAACACTCTTTATAAAACTAGACAGAAACTAAAACAAAAGGTCTGGAGTATGCAGTAAATCTTGCAGTTTGAAAGGTTTAAAAACCTTCAGAAAAGGCTCTTCATTCAGATCTGCCAAAGCAAACAGAGAAGTGCACACTAAGACCACGCTAGTGCCTGGCAGTTCCCCAATTAAGATGCAGGTTAAAGAGCATAACCAAAACATGTAACCAGAAAATCTTGTTTGCTATTTTCAAAACAATCATGACCGAAACAAAAACATTACTTCAGATTTTCAAGTTTAGTCAAGTCGAGAAGAGCCCATTTCATGTTAATCTACTTAATTGTATAAGCCCTTTTAACTTACTGCAACTTTGTCCCAGAAAGAGTTTAATGTGATATTTAGTTATTGTTCATATCTCCACTGAAACGTCAACCTGTGAGTAAGCTTATTTGATAATTACAATGTGCTTAAAAGACAGTTTTTGGGAGTTATTTTTCAAACTACAAAAGCTAATTTTGCTACTTTTTTATAGGAAACTGGCATTATAGTATATGTCTTAAGATTGATTGACAGATATCAAAAAAATCTCAAAACTGGTTTCATGTCCAGGGGAGTGTTTCGACTAATTATTTTAAAAAGTCTCATTACAATTCTCAAACAAAATGATTTTAATTAAAACCTTAAATTGTACCTAAAGTTTTTGGAACACTAGCTTTTCCTCTAAAATCAACTGTGTAATTTACTCTAAGAAACATTAACTGGTATAACCAGTTAACATTTCCTAAATAACCCACTATGTGCCAGGGACTGTGTGGTGAAATTTGCATCCATTTTCTCACTTTAATTTCATAATATACCTTGAGTAGCAACAGGTAACCAATGAAAATTTTCAGTGACTATTGAATTTATTAACAACAACATGAAACTCAAAGCAGAAGGCCTAACAATTAAAGGTTTGGATAACTATTAAAAATTATCTTTTTGAAGACTATTCAGTGATACAAGAAACGTTCAAGATGGAGTTGTAAGAAAAAATATTAAACTTCCCATGTTTAATACCCTAAATATGCAAGAAGACGTATGTATATCTATTATACATTTTTGAATGGTTACCTTTGGATGGTAGGATTACTAACAATTTTCTAAAATAAACATAATATTTTTATAACCAGAAATCTGTTCCAATTAAGTGTTAACCTAAAGTACCTAAAGCTGGCTGTTGAATGTATGAGATTTCACATTGAACTTAGTATGAATGGTATAGTGTATAGTAGTTGAAAAGTAAGTTCCTTTGAAATTTTCATGTATCTTGCCGTAGACTAATGTATAATGAAAACTTTATTATGCAAACATTTCATTTGCCATTCTGATTGAGTTGTTTTATAATGCATCTTCAGTTTCTATTGCTTTAATTTTAAATGTGAAGAATTAAATATAGACTCTCTCAAAGGTTACATTGCTTTCATCTTAAATCAGTTAAACAGAGAATGAAGCCATTGACTTCTTTACAAATAGCTACTGAAAGTGAAATACAGACTTTGCAAACTTTGGATATGTGTCAGACCCTAAAAGAGGGATCCTCTTTGCCACTGCTCAATTTTACGCATATAGTAGGTACTCAATAAAAGATGTTGAAGGAATACAAAAACGTCCTCTCTGGATATCTAGACTTACTTTCCCTTCACTCAGTTTAGATGACCTGAGAAGCACTTCCTCAAAATAACCCTCTGGTTCACCATGAGACGAATGCCTGGCACCAGCTGGTAGGAGATATTAATAGTATGCCCATTAGGCACTTGTTCAAGGCACACAGATAGCTCAGTGATAAAATCTTCAGAAATATTTGGATAGTTAAAATTATTCAGAATATGAATCAGTTGTGGTTCTTTGAATCTCCACTCTAATTATTAAGGAATCAACATCTGTTTTTGGAAATTCTTTAAAAAAAAGTAAGGTAACAGCAATAATTGCTTTCAATTTTAGAGGAACTCCGCATTTAGGGCTAAAGAAAAAAGCTTACAACAGCAAAATTCTTTCTTCCTTGTGACAAAGATTCTTTTGAAGGATTCATATGCTAAAAAAGAAGAGAATAGACTTTTTCCTTCAAATTTCAATTTTTAGTATTTACCAAGCATTTACCACTGACCAAGAAGTCTCTTCCCCACAAAAGTGTATTTCTATTCCCCCCTAGACAATATAATGCTCAAAAACAGTTATATGGGGAAAATTATAAAATAGCCTAGGTCATCCTTAATGACTCATGAGGGACTGAGCAGAGACGGGGAATGGGATGGGACTACAGCTCATTTTTCAAATAATACATAATTTAGAAATACTTACACCTTCACCAGACAGAATTAACCATTCCAACTATAAAATAATACTTGACAGTCATCTATCCTTGGTCTAAAATTCTTCCAGATATTTAGTTTAACCAGTAAGAGACATACATTCAAAGCACCCATTTGTTTTGTTATAAAATGGCCTATATCTTACATCATAGCGTTAAAGACATTTTATTCTCTTAGCCATCACTTCAAAGTTTCTACAAAACTATTAGAGTTCAGATGAATTGTTTTTCTTACATAGTGTGTAAGGTCTCTAAACACTTAAATCAACTCAAATAAAAATAAAAGATAAACAAGCAGTTGGGGTACCTGGGTAGCTCAGTTGGTTAAGTGTCTGACTTTGGCTCAGGTCATGATCTCATGGTTTGTGGGTTTGAGCCCTGTATTGGGCTTTTTGCTGTCAGCCCACTTCTGATCCTCTGTCCCTCTCTCTCTCTCTCTCTCTCTCTGCCCTTCCCCTGCGTGTGTGCACTCTCTTTCTCTTTCAAAAATAAATAAAAACATTGAAAAAAAAAGATAAACAAGCAGATTTGAATCCTCAAATACTCAGATGAACAGACAATTCTACTAGGTATCTTATACCATGCTAGGTAGAGACAGAGAATAAACAAAAGTAAGATATCATTGCTGACCTTCAGGAACCTTCCCTTTGGCTGGGGAAATGATGTGGGAAACAAGAGCTAATGAGATAAGATAAATGCTCTGTTATGTGGTATGGAGCAAATAGATGTTTATAGGCATAGAGATAGACTACCCTGATTTTAGGTAGAGAGGCAAGGAAGGTTGGAGAGGCGGGGGCACGTGGAAGGGCCTGGAAGTCTGGCAGTAATATTTAGATGTGATACGGTAGCATATGGGACAGTCAGATGTTTTTGCATAGGAGGATGAGTTAAAGTGAGAGAAAGAAGTTAGATTAAAAAAAAATTTAGCTAGGTCAACTGGAAAACTGATTAATATAGGTACAATTTTTCTCTTAGTGTACTTAAAAATTTTTTTTAACATTTATTTATTTTTGAGAGACAGAGATAGAGCGTGAGCAGGGGAGGGGCAGAGAGAGAGGGAGACACAGATCTGAAGCAGGCTCCAGGCTCTTAGCTGTCAGCACAGAGCCTGATGCGGGGCTCGAATTCACGGACCGTGAGATCATGACCTGAGCCAAAGTCGGACACTTAACCCACTGAGCCACCCAGGTGCCCCATAGTATACTTTAAACAGAATCTCACAAAATCACTAGTGGATCTCCCCCAAATTTTCTTGGTCTTCACAAAATCTTTTATACTTTCTTTCTTTTTTAATTTACATCCAAGTTAGCATATAGTGCTATGATGATTTCAGGAGTAGATTCCGGTGATTCATCCCCTATATAACACCCAGTGCTCATCCCAACAAGTGTCCTACCTAATGCCCCTACTTTTAATCATAATATAATGTGCTATCTCATCTCTCTCTCTGCGTCCCTCTTTCTCTTTCTCAAGTATATGTCAAGGAATGTACACAGGTGAATAAAAAACAAGAGAAAAAGGAAGCCTATTTAATTTTAATCTGAAAACTGTTGGTACAAATGCATTTGTAGCACACTTGAAATTAATGTGAAAATAAAATCACAATGGTGTCATTATCACTGAATCTAATTCTAGGAAAATACTAATGTACACTTCTAGTTTATTGATCATTAAACTCACTTAAAAATACATGAAATGCAGGATTATAACTTACTGTGCTTTATTTTGTGAGCAATTTAATATTTATGCATACTAAGAATAAAGTAACTTTACTTTGCACATTATCAAAAAGCATAATGTAATTACATTTAGCTTGAGTAGATAAGTAAAACAAATATATATTGATTTTACCTTTGCTTTAGTCGTCTTTTGGCTGTTGTGGGAACATTAGCACCATAGCCATAGGAAAAAAGAACCCTTTCAGCTTCATCTTCATTTTCAACTGAAAAATATTAAAATGTATGATGTAAAATAAGTGGGTTTTTTTCTTAAAAAGCACAGCAAAAGTGAAAATAAAAGAGGTCATACCAATGAATCAGGGAGCATTAGAACATTAAAAAGGGCTAATGCACAATCTCAAACAGTCCATTTGTAAGTAGAAGCATATTTCTTAAAGTATATGGTTGCTTAAATTTGTTCCATTTATTTTTAAAAGGTGTAATGGCTTGCCTCATAGGACATGTTAAATTTTCTTGTTATAAAGCATAATAATTTAAGGGGCGCCTGGGTGGCTTAGTCGGTTAAGCCTCTAACTCTTGGTTTTGGCTCAGGTCATGATCTCATGGTTTGTAAGTTTGAGCCCTGCATAGGCCTCTGTGTTAATGGTGCAGAGCCTGCTTGGGATTCTCTCCCCTCTCTCTCTGTCCCTACCCCGCTTGCTCTCTTGCTTAAAACTAAATAAATAAACTTAAAAAAAATTTTTTTTTTAAATAAAGCATAATAATACAGATGCTGTGATATTCTGAATGATTCTAGGATTTTTGCATGGAAAGTATGTTTTGTAATTATAAATAAGTAACAATAACATCAGTTTCATTATTTCTCTTCTTGATAAAAGACATGACTATTTTTTAAAATATTTATTTATATTTGAGAGAGAGAGAGAGAGACAGACAGAGCATAAGTGGGGGACAGGTAGAGAGAGACAGGGAGACACAGAATGTGAAGCAGGCTCCAGGCCCTGAGCTGTCAGCACAGAGCCCGACACAGGGCTCAAACCCATGAACCATGCGAGATCATGACATGAGTTGAAGTCAGATGCTTAACCGAGTCACCCAAGAGCCCTAAGAAATGACTACTTTTAATTAGGAAAGATGTTCACTATTTTATCAAAACAAGTTAATTTTAACTTGGAATAATGAAATTGTGTATTTAAGTAGGCTACTCTGTGAAGAAACTGTGCAGTCCTGAGAATGTATTGATAGCCTTTTTTTTTTATTACAAAAAAATACAGCAAAACCATTTACTTTTAAATTCTGCCATTGTCACATCACTCTTTTTCAGAAGGAATTTTAACTGACAGGTTAACATTATGGTTAAAAAGTTTAAATGCAATGGCAATTTTACTGTAAATTGGGATTAAAAAATACTTAAAGTTCATAAAAACTAAAGGTTTACTAGCTCATATAAAAGCAGTCAATGACATTTAACAATGTTTATAACATTTTTTAACAATCATATTTTAACATTAAAAAGAGAAACCTCTCAGAAATGTTTCAGACTTAAAACAAAGCCACATATTTTACAAGCTATTTGGAGGCCCATTACTGTAATATGCATATATTTGTTGACTGATCCTTTTACAGTATAGTAAGAATTTTAATAAGATTTTTCTTGTTGTCCTTCAATTTTATCCCTAGTTTTAATGGTAAACCAGGGTCAGTTTTCAGAAATAGAGTTATTAGTTGTCAGGTAAATGTAGAAGCAAGAGATGATATAGGTCATTGCCAATAGTGTTACCAGCTATCATAGGTCCAAGATGAGTTCTCCAATTCAGCTCTATCAGAATGGCAAAATAGCTCTGTTAGTGCTGTTATTTAGACACCTACCTGACTCTTGTCTCAAAATTCAGAAGGAAGAGGGTAAATTCTGTTAATATCTCAAAAACCCATCAGTTAGAAATTGATGGACATCTGAAATTTGAGTTTAATACCTAATGGATTAGTAACTCATAGGATAACTATTCTATTGGTGATTTAATTATAGAAACAATGGTAGATGGTACTAAGGAGATATGAATGTGTCTTAGAAGTACAGAGCACCGAACATCTATATCTGAGTGCCACCATTTTTCTCAAGCTAGAAGCATCAGGAGGCTGTGGGGAGACAAACGTTCATAGAGAAGGAACAGGAGGGCCTGTGCATGTGTAAAGGCACAGAGCTGTGACATTTTAGTAATTATGAGGTAAGTGGTTGGAGTTCACTTAGAGAACAACGGTAGTAGAAAGATAGGCTTAGTTCCAATTGTGAATGGAATGAAATTTTATTTGCTAGGCTAAGGAGTTTGGATTTTTATTCCACAGTCAACAAGAAACTAACAGAGATTAATTCAGAAAGGTAACATGACCAAAAGAGCTTTGTTGTTGATGCTGATATTGCAGAAAAAAATTCTAACAATGGGGAAAAGGATGGCCTATTGTAGCACAGAGAACTCCTCACAAGTTATAGTAATAATCCAGTTGAAGAACAGTCCAGAAAAGCAAGAGAGGATGAATAAAAAAAGTTAGATGCTAGACAACTGAATAGGTGTGGAGGTGAGAGGAGGCACTAGAGAGAATGAGGGAGACATGGAGGTTGACAAAAGCTGGATGGTAATTAGACTTTAACCTTACTAACAGATCAAGAATACAAGAAAATTAGTAAGTTTTACAGAGAGAAGAAAAAATAAATGTGAGAAATGTTAAATTTTTTTTAAAATTTTTATTTAATGTTTATTTATTTTTGTGACAGAGAGAGACAGAGTATGAACGGGGGAGGGTCAGAGAGAGAGGGAGACACAGAATTCCAAACAGGCTCCAGGCTCTGAGCTGTCAGCACAGAGCCCGATGCGGGGCTCAAACTCACGGACCGTGAAATCATGACCTGAGCCGAAGTCGGACGCTCAACTGACTGAGCCACCCAGGTGCCCCAAGAAATGTTAAATTTTTAATGACTCTAGGAACTCTTTACAGATTAGCCTACAGACAATAAATGAAATTGTGGAAAGGGCTAGGATTATCCAGAGAGTAGGTAAGTTAAGTAAAAATTGAAGAGGATAATGGGAAAACCCTTGTGAAGTATTCGGTAGAGTTAGCTAGAAGAAGAGACAATAAAAGCAATGGAGAAGAAACAATCAAAGACAGGTGATTCAAGAAGCAAGAGAAGAGTCTTGAGAAATGTGACAAATGCCTAGCAGAGGTTACAAGTAAGATGAAATGGACAGTAGGTTCTAGAATCTGACAACTAGAAATCTGGTTTTCTTTTTATATTTGAATTTATTTAGTTTCTAGTCAATACTATTTGTAACAAATGGATGAGGTCTTTGAAAACTAAACTCCTCAAAAATCCAAATAATATACTTAATTATAAAAGGCAATTCAGGTGTGAATAGGTTATGTCATTTGACATGGTGACATCTTAACAAATGAAGTCTAACCCTCTTCATATCAGGTGAAATTTTCTGTATTAGATGGTGACCTTTGAAAATCATACCCACTGTAGTACTAAAAAAGAATGTTTTGTACTATATCTTTGAAGTTTTCATTAACAAGTATTCTTTAAATAAGGATAGGAACATTTTAATTTCTGGGGCATCAGGGTGGCACAGACAGTTAAGTGTCTGACTCCTGATTTTGACTCAGGTCATGAACTCCCAGTTTGTGAGTTCAAGTCTTGGGACACGCTCTGCACTGTCAGCATGGATTCTCTCTGCTCCTCTTCCCGTGACAGAGCACATACGCTCTCTAAGTAAATAAATAAACTTAAAGAAGAAACAAGGAATATTCTAATTCTAATTTCCATTGTGAACATATAGACATGAACTTACTTTCTTGATCTTCCAAGTATAAGTAAATATATTTTATTCTAAGATGATTTGAAGATGGTTTATACGATAGCATAGCAAAAATTTATTTTTGTATTAAAAAATTTTTTTTAATGTTTATTTATTATTGAGAGGGTAGGGGGTAGGGTTAGAGAGAGGGAGACAAAGAATTCAAAGCAGGCTTGGGCTCTGAGCTGTCAGCACAGAACCCAATGCAGGGCTTGAACTCACAAACCGTGAGATCATGACCTGAGTCAAAGTGAGATGCTTAACTGAGTCACCCAGGTGCCTGTATTTTTGTATTTTTTCTAAAGATTTTACTAAGAAAATATTTGCACATGTGGAAGAGATGAAAGATGTCTATAGCATTCACCCATATACTCAACATCTGGATTCTAAATTAAATGTTGCATTGTATGTAGTTTATCACATATCTGTCCATCACTGTATACATCCATGAATCTATCTTACTTTTTTGATGGTTTTTAAAAAACATTTTTAATGTTTATTTATTTTTCTGAGAGAGAGAGTGGGTGGCGGGGGGGAGAGGGGGACAGAGGATCCGAAGAGGGCTTTGTGCTGACAGCAGTGAGCCTGACATGGGGCTCAAACTCATGAACCTGAGGTGAAGTCAGCCGCTTAACTGAGCCACCCAGGTGCCCCTGATATATTTCCAAATAAGCTGCAGACATCTGCCCCTCATCTCAACAATTCAACACGTATATTATCAACTACAGTTCAATATTTATAGTTTTTTTTTTAATTAAATTACATATGGTAAAAAAAATTAAATTTACATATGGTAAAAAAATTAAATTTATATATGGTAAGAGGTACAAATCTTAATCCTACCATTCAATGAGTTCTGAGAAATATACACACATGTGTAACACAAGCCCTATTAAGATACAGAGCATTCCAACAACCTGGAAAGTTCCCTAATATCTTTCTTCCCAGTTAATTTTTGGTGACAACCATCCTTAGAGGCAAACATTGTTCTACTTTTTTTCCCCACTATAGTTTTCCCTCTTCTAGAATTTTATATAAATTTAGTCATAAAAGGTTTCTTAGACTAAACATAAAGTTTTTTAGAATCATCCATGTTGTTGAGGAATCAGTAGTTTGTTTTTATTGCGGAGTAGTATTCTACAGTATAAAATGTGTGATGGTTTGTTTAGCCATTTTCCTGTGATAGTTGCTAGGCCTGTTGCCAGTTTTTTGTTTTTTGTTTTTTTTTTAATTTTTTTTTAAGGTTTATTTATTTTTGAGACAGAGAGAGACAGAGTATGAACGGGGGAGGGTCAGAGAGAGAGGGAGACACAGAATCTGAAACAGGCTCCAGGCTCTGAGCCATCAGCACAGATGCCTGACGCGGGGCTTGAACTCATGAACCGTGAGATCATGACCTGAGCTGAAGTCGGATGCTTAACCGACTGGGCCACCCAGGCGCCCCATGTTGCCAGTTTTTAATGATTATGAATATAGCTCCTGTGAATATCCTAGTATAAGTCCTTTTGTGTGCATACGCTGTCTTTTCTCTAGGGCAAAATACATCAACATAGAATTGCTGGATTACTGGATAGGTTGTTTGGTTTTATAACAAATTGCAGTTGTTCTATATTCTCACTAACATTGCTATAGCCAGTCTTCTAATTTCAGTCATTCCAGTAAGTGTGTACTGTTATTATTAAAAGTGGGCCTTTTAAAAGGCCCCTGAATTTCCATATAAATGGAATATAAAAAATATTTTAAATGGCATTACAATGTTTAATGTAAGTTATAAAAATAGAAATCCTGCCTTGTACTATCCCTTAACAGGAAGGCATTTAATATTTCATCATTAGGTATGATATTAGCTGTAGATTTTTTTGTAGATATCCTTTATCAGACTGAGCAAGTTCTGTTCTACTCCTGATTTGTTTAGACAGAGGGACATACGCAAAGTTATGAAGATACAAGTATATGGAAACTTCAAATAATATGCAATGACAGGAAATGGAAAGGCATAAACTATAAAGGAGAGTGTATAAATAAAGCCATGCTAAGGAATATGACGTTATGCTGTCTAAAGATGATGACACAGAGGTATTAAAGCAGGGGTATGCTACAATCAAATCTATTTTCTAAAGATTACTCTGACTCCAGCAAAGAAACTGAGGACAAATTTGAAAACTGTTGCAGTTATCAGATACTGACCCTAAAAGTGGAAAAAAGATAATGATAGGAATGAAATGTTTTCCTTTTTTATTTTTAAATTAAAAAAAACATGTTTACTTATTTTTGAGAAAGAGAGACAGAGTGTGAATGGTAGAGGGGCATAGGGAGAGGGAGACCCAGATTCTGAAGCAGGCTCCGGGCTCTGAGCTGTCAGCACAGAGCTCGACGCAGGGATCAAACCCATGAAACGTGAGACCATGAATTGAGTCGAAGTTGGATGCCCAACCAACTGAGCCACCCAGGCGCCCTGAAGTTAAGTTTTCCTTAAATTGGCCTACAAATATAACAAACATAGCCTTTACAAGAAAATGTGCCCGAAACAGATTCAAATTCAACCTCAGCTTCAATTGAAGTTTAAGTCCACTTTTATAAGAATGCCCCTGACATTTCTGACTTTTGAACAAAAATAATGTGCTGTAGCAAATATCTCAGTCAGTAGTGAAAGGTTAATTTAAAATATTCCCTTACACTGGCTGGCTTAGTCAGTAGAGCATGCAACTCTTGATATCGGGGTCACGACCTCAATCGAGCCCCATGTTGGGCATGGAAGCCTACTTAAAAAAATAAAAATAAAAAATAAAATAAAATAAAATATTTCCTTAAAGTCCAGGATAACAAAGGAAGCTAGCATAACAAGAGGAAACAAATAGAAATTAAAGGTCAAGGATTACAACACAGTACATTCAATAAATTTCTATTTTTCAAGACTTAAAGTGTCAGTCATCTCCCCTCTTAGGTATCGTACTCCTCACCTTAAAGGTAGAATTAACTTATGACCGCTCCTGTATTTCCACTGCAAAATGACTATTTCTTGCTAACAGCACATATCTCACTACTTTAATTATCTTTAATATGCTTGTTTCTTCCAGGGGTCTAGACTAGCAAGAATTATCACATGAACTCCATGGACCCATATCCTGGCACATGTAAACATTTAATTGTTCAATGAGGGAACTAAATAAATGAAAAGATAAAATCTACTGTAGTTAACCTATTTTAAAAAAATGGTTTTTTTTATTTTTTTATTTTTTTTTTTCAACGTTTATTTATTTTTGGGATAGAGACAGACAGAGCATGAACGGGGGAGGGGCAGAGAGAGAGGGAGACACAGAATGGGAAACAGGCTCCAGGCTCTGAGCCATCAGCCCAGAGCCTGACGTGGGGCTCGAACTCACGGACCGCGAGATCGTGACCTGGCTGAAGTCGGACACTTAACCGACTGCGCCACCCAGGCGCCCCAAAAAATGGTTTTTTAATGTTTATTTATTTTTGAGAGAGAGGGGGAGAGTGAGAGAGAGAACGCCAGAACATGAGACACAGAATCTGAAGCAGGATCCAGGCTCTGAGCTGTCAGCACAGAGCCCGACATGGGGATCAACTCAGGAACTGCAAGATCATGACCTAAGCCGAAGTCAGACACTGACTGAGCCACCCATATAGTCAACCTATTTTTTAAATGCCAACTAATGAAATTGAGATCAACTGATTATTAAAATATAAAATACATATTTTTCAAAAGTTACCAATTGGATTTTAAAGAAATATATTAGTGTTTTTAGAAACAATACCAGGTTCCTTGTGCTGCCAGAAAAAAAGCTGTGTGTGTGAGGTGGTGGGCGACTTACTTTCTGCAGTTTGCATTATTATTTCATCAAGCTCTTTTTCCAATCTCTCATAAATGTCGAGCCTTGCCTGATACTCAGAGTTCCGTGCTTGAAGTTCAGTAATGCGTTTTTCAGAAGAGCCTTGGAGACTATAAAATTCTTTAGTTAAAACCTAATAGTGGAAGAAAAAAATTGCAAAGGCAGAATTAAAAAGATTAACAGTTAAGACAAAAATGTTGACACAAAAATGCCTTTTGAATTTTTTTCTCTAATGATTTAAATATGAGGAGAAAGTAGCTCAACTGAGATGACTGAGGAAGCTACATTTATTTCTAAGGTACATAACTCAGTTGTTTGTAACTGAAAATTACGAACCACTTTACTGCATGAACTGAATAAACAACAAATTTAAAACTTAGAAATAGTTACAGGAATAAGAATAGCATTTGCTTGTTAGAACTAAAAAATGCAACAGATGCTATTCTTACCTGGAGGTCATTTATTTGGCAACTGCAGCAAGGGGAGAAAGGCTTGCAGCTTACAAAACTGGGTGTGAAAACGATACACTCACCCTTCAGTTTTCCATCAGAGCTTACTTCATCTATGCTTACCAAGGTTGTAATAAGGTTTCTGGCTTCTTGAACAATCATAAATTCAAAGCAACAAACCAAGATGAGACATATGAAGTGCCACCTGGGGCAGTATCAGAAAATGCCTTTATATAGAAAGGAAGGACTTAAACAATTATTAAAAAAGATTTAAAAAGGCATGGAAATTGGAGTTATTTTGTGTAAGAACAAAAAAATTCTACATTCTTTAATGGTGATTTGTTGAAAGAATCACTATGTTGATAACAAATTCACTTAAAAAGAGACATTTCTAATGACAAAGGAAATGTTTTAATGCTTAAATTCCAATTATTTAGAAAGTTTACTAACTAGCAAAGATTAAATTGTGGAGTGGTATTACACTTGCTTTCCAATACAGCATAAGTAATGTAGTATTTCCTTAAAAGCAACAGAAAATTATGGTTAAGAATATGGGTTGTAGCCAGAAAGATTTGGGTTTCAATGCTGGCTTTGACACTTCACTAGTTTTGGATCTTAGGCACTTAATTATTCTTTCTAGGCCTCCCTCAAAACATTGTTGGAAGGATTAGATAAGATAATAAATTCACAGTGCTTAGCAGAATGCCTAGAACACATTAAGTTTGAAAAATATCATTACTGCTATAAGAATTATGAGAACTTTGTATTAAATGGTTCATAGAAATAAAGATCCGCTGGCCTAATTACTCTGAATTATCTATAAACAATTTTTAACACAACCTATTTCCTTTAATGACACAAAGTTCATCTCAACAAATGTACATGATTGTGTGCTTTCTTTGATGTGGAAAAAGGAGAGGATAAAGATTTAGTTACAGTTTTAACAAGCAGAGGTTACAATTTAATTTTCCTTAATCTATTCTTATTTTCCTTCAATTATTTTCATCAAAATTTCCCACTCAAATAACTTAAACATTATCTCCCACCCTCCAAACTTATTCCTTTGGGGGATAAAGAAAGAATAACATGGGAATAATGATGATAATCACAGGATGATTTTTAGTGTCCCTGATTGGATCAACAGAAGAAAATTCATCTTTTAGTATTATTTCTTCTTCATTCTTGTCAGTTGGGAATATGTTTTCTAAAGATTTATTAATTCGTTATAACTAAATTATTAGACAGTGAAATAATCTGGAGCTTTCATAGAATTTATTATACTGAGATGTAATTCATTAAGACTTTGGTGGCTGATGACACTAATTCCACAGTCAAAAGAGAGTATCGGTAATGACGTTGTTAAATGAATATTCTCACAGCACAGCTGATACTATTTGTTTGTATTCCAACTCCTTCAACAAAAACCACAGAAGGCAAAACTGCAGAAATGGATATTGCAGGAGATAATCAAAATGTGGAAGATGGGATATTTCGTAAGTATTATTTTAAGATTTAAAAAATACTATTAAATTGAGAGATGTAATTTAAAATTCTCTCTCCATAACAGAGGAGAGATCCCCAGAAATACCCAACACCTCTGGACTCCATGGTGGAGAATTCTCTTTTACTATGGATTTGCCTGAGTGGTTTCTATAAATAAACTTATTATTGTTTCTGAAAAGCAAAAAAAAAAAAAAAAAAAAAAAAAAAAAAAAAAAGCTTGATTACTGGACCTATGGAAGGCTATTATATTAAAGATTCTTTAGGAAAAACCAATATATGAACATTTGAGTTTGACCACGAATGCACAAAACAGATCAGCTGCTTTTAGAAATCCATTATATACTAAGCTTTCACAGTGGCTATTTCTTTACTTTAAATAATCAAATAATACAGAATTATATAAAATTATATGTAAAATTAATGATAATACAAAACTGTAGGTCAATGACTGCTTTAAAAAGACATAAAAGGGGCACCTGGGTGGCTCAGTCGGTTAAGTGTCCAACTTCGGCTCAGGTCATGATCTCACAGTACGTGAGTTTGAGCCCTGCGTTGGGCTGTGCTGACAGCTCAGAGCCTGGAGCCAACTCTGGATTCTGTGTCTCCCTCTCTCTCTGCCCCTCCCCTGCTCGTGCTCTGTCTCTCTCTCAAAAATAAATAAACATTAAAAAAATAAATAAAAAGAGGGGCGCCTGGGTGGCGCAGTCGGTTAAGCGTCCGACTTCAGCCAGGTCACGATCTCGTGGTCCGTGAGTTCGAGCCCCGCGTCAGGCTCTGGGCTGATGGCTCGGAGCCTGGAGCCTGTTTCCGATGCTGTGTCTCCCTCTCTCTCTGCCCCTCCCCCGTTCATGCTCTGTTTCTCTCTGTCCCAAAAATAAATAAAAAACGTTGAAAAAAAAAATTAAAAAAAAAATAAATAAATAAAAAGAGATAAAAATATAAAGCCAGTGTTTTGGCAGGCTTTGCCAACTGATAATTCAAGTAAAATAAATAGTCGCCAAGTTATAAATCAATGAGAATACTGGGTAAAAGCCATAGAAAAGTACATAAATAAAATAATCTTTATCCTTTATAAGATTATTTCTCCCCCAAATTCATTATAAATAAGAATGGTCTTAGAAATACCTTCCGGTACTTCAGAAAAATGGATTCTAACAACAGTGCTGTACTAACATTCATCAAACCATTCATTCACTCATTATTTATTGAACATCCACTATGAACAAAGCACTGTGTTAGGTATAGGTGACACAATGATAAATGAATAATCTCTATCCTCTCAAGACTCCTAGGTTTAACAGAGGAGGAAATGTAAGAAATACCCCTAATGCCTCAGTTTTATCAATAGTTTTTAGAAACATAATATTTTTGGGGGCATCTGGGTGGCTCAGTTGGTTAAGTGTCTGACTCGACTTTGGATTAGGTCATGATCTCACGTTTGTGAGATAGAGCCCTGTGTTGGGCTCTGTGCTGACAGTGTGGATCCTGCTTGGGATTCTCGCTCTCTCTCTCTCTCTAAATAGATATATAAACTTAAAAAACAAAACAAAACAGTATTTTTTACAGAGGTGTTTCTCCATAACCCTTACACACAAAAAACAACTGGTAGTCAGCAGCTGCATTCACCAACCCAGTGGGTAGAGGTCTATGGGAGACTGGCTTTCATATTGCAAGTTGTAACCTTTAAGAGGTCATGAAATCAATTCAGATTGCAACCAGCTAAAAATAATAAAACAGAATGGTTAAAAAAAAACAAAACAATGGTTTAGTAAACATCAGCACTGTGTGTTGTATTGTTCAGTGAAATGCTTGTTTCAGAAGTAGAGAGAGAGAGAACTGCTTCCCTCTCTTCCTATATATACCTCTCATTCCCTTCCACCTGCCCCAAGACACATCCTTAAGCAGTCATCCAATCTGGAAAAAAAAAAAAAAAAAAAAAAAAAAAAGGCATTTTGCTAGGAATTATGAAATTTTAACAATAACTTGCAAAAGATGAATTCCAAATCAGAGCTGATCTAATTCAGTCTAATCGAAAATGTGTGGGAGAATCTGCTGTTGCAGATTATGACTGCAGTAGGTTCCTGAATAATATATTTGAAAAAGTACTAAATGCTGAACACTGGTTTGCTTTAGAAGTAAACAATAAACACTATCTATAATTTGTCTGTTTCTTTACATATATATATATATGTATTTAATATCATTTTTATATTTTTTCTAAGGCTTTATTTTCTTTGGGACCCTTTATCTTGTTAATCTTAGTTTTACTTGTCAGAATACTTCCCAGAAATGTAATCTCTGAGACATTATTGTAATGAAAACTTACATCATTAGCTAATTAATAATGTTAATGACATTATTAAACCTATTTCATTTAGATTTTTAAATGAGCATTTTCCACAAATCTAAAATATTCAGGAATATTATTACAAGTAACCATATAATACATGAATATAGCAAAATATAGAGTTTAAAATCTACTAACTGTAAATTGTTTATTATTTGAATAAATAACTTCCAATTTTTACTGTAATATTTAGTGCTGCGAGTATGCCATTAATATAACCCTCTTATTTCCTCAGGTAAAATTCCTTTAAAATTACTGGATCAGGGGCGCCTGGGTGGCTCAGTCGGTTAAGCAGCCGACTTCAGCTCAGGTCATGATTTCGCGGTCCGTGAGTTTGAGCCCCACGTCGGGCTCTGTGCTGACGGCTCAGAGCCTGGAGCCTGTTTCAGATTCTGTGTCTCCCTCTCTCTGACCCTCCCCCGTTCATGCTCTGTCTCTCTCTCTGTCTCAAAAATAAATAAACGTTAAAAAAATAAACAAAATAAAATTACTGGATCAATTTTTTAAGGACGTTAACACAGGTTACCATACTATCCTCCCCAAGAGAGGTTCCGTTTTCTAAGCGCATGAGATTCCCCTTTTAAGGGTACTCTTGCCAGCAGTTTGAAAACAACAAAGAGACCTATGTAAAGGTAGAAAAAAGTTTAAATTTATATTTCTTTCCTTATTAGGGAGAATACATGTTTTCATCTATTTCTCAACAATTTTCATGTGTTTTCTTGGAAAGAGTACAATCCTTCTACCTAGTCTCTAGAAGAGGAAGAAGGTATGTTCTCTTGGTAAGAGACCTTTCAAAAGTAAGGACACAAGCCCTTTCTCCTACATAACACAAGTATTATTTTTCAGTCTTCATTTATTTTTCCTAAATGGTTTCTTCCCCTACTTTTAATCAACAGATCAACAGATTAATCCCCAGACATAATCTAAAATTTCATCTGTATTTACTTTTAATAGCTTTATAGTTCTGTATTTACATTTACATAGGATCCATCTGAGTTTTATTCTGATATGCAGTGTGAAATATGGAAGTAATTATTTTCTCGAAATACTCAAATGATTATCACAGCACTGTTTGTTATCCAATCCACCTTTCCCCGTAACTTGCAAAATAAGCTTTACAACGAATATATTCTTAAATTCATGTGATTATGGGTCTTGAGCTTTGTATTTGATACCACTTATGAACTTTTTTTTGTGGGTTTTAATTGTTCTTGCCTCAGAATGCATTTTATTTTTTTTTATTATTATTATTTTTTTTTTTAATTTTTTTTTTTTTTCAAACGTTTATTTATTTTTGGGACAGAGAGAGACAGAGCATGAACGGGGGAGGGGCAGAGAGAGAGGGAGACACAGCATCGGAAACAGGCTCCAGGCTCTGAGCCATCAGCCCAGAGCCTGACGCGGGGCTCGAACTCACGGACCGCGAGATCGTGACCTGGCTGAAGTCGGACGCTTAACCGACTGCGCCACCCAGGCGCCCCCAGAATGCATTTTAAAATGTGATACGTATTTCTTCTCATTATTTCTTTTTATCAATCTCTTCAAAAATTGATTACTTTGTTTTTTTCCTTCTAGTTATATTACATAATTACTTTGTTCAGTTAAAAAAGAGCATGCTAGCAAGTAATATTACTTGATAGAAATAAAAAAATATGTAATATTGAATATTGCCTTCCAGGAACATGGGGTTTCTTCTTATGTATTAGTGGAGTTGAATGCTTTTCTCGATAATAGCCTCTGTACTATTCCTATTAAAATTATTCCAAGTAATTATATATTTTTGGTTGTTACAGCAGATGAGATTTTTTCTTTTTTTGTGTGTTCTAACAATTCCAGTCCTTTGTGGTACACATATTTCTGAAATATATTTATCTTGTGTGCGCATGTGCGTGCATGCACGTTGCGTGCATGTGCAGGATAGGGCTAAATCCTACAGTAAAATAAAGCTTGACATGATACAGACCTTGTACTAATTGAGCTCACATGCTATGCTCTGCTATTTATTATTTTTTAAAATTAGACTATGTCCAACATGGGGTTCTACCTCACGACCCAGAGATCCAGAGTTGCATGTTACCACTGAGCCAGCCAGGCGCCCCATGTTATGCTAATTTTAAAAGAAAAGTTTGTACATGTACCTCTATTTTTTTTTGATATTTTTCACATTCCAACTGGCACTGTGTGAGATTTCTTGCAGTTTCCTCCTGTATAAGTTGAACACGCTCACTTTCAAAAGATTTTAATTTACTTTGATGGAGATATTCTGTGACTTTGCTTTCTGAACTAAGTTGTAGTTCTCTGTACCTGAAAGAAGCAGAATGATTATAAGACTGTACAGAAACTGCAATGATTTATATAAACATAAACACTACATCTACTTTTTCTATATTCCCATCTTATTATGTAGTTAATAACTTATATATTTATTCAGCAAAGCTCTTGTAAATAATTTAGATAGCCATATGTATGGAAATATGATAAGTCTGGAGAACAAAACACACCAATTAAACCACCTCTATGGTTCCTTTATTTTTATCCCTTCCACCCCCAAATAATTATTGCCTAGTGTTAATATTTTGTAAGACATTTAAAATAAAAGAGTAAGTTTCAATTATATTGCTTAAAATGATTTAATTTCTATATATTTTGAAGGTCTTCTTAAATCTACAGCAAAACTGTTTCCAAGCTTGCTGTTTCTTTCTAAGTCTAAATAATGTCAGATGGAGGATAGCATGAAATATGCACCCTGAGCTGTAAATTCTTAGGACTTTTAGAAAATAAAATTCTAAGTTAGTAAATGTATACATGTATACATATATATATATATATATATATATATATATACATATACATACATATACATATATATATATATATATATAT